ACCAAGAGGTTGAGGCTGCAGTGAGCTGAGCCTCACTACTGCCCTCCAGCCTGGGCAACAGGGGGAGACCTTGTCTTAAAAAAAAAAAAAAAAAAGTTCCAGCTAGAGACAGAGGAATGGGAGAAGGAACCTTTGGGGTTTAGGGTAGAGTTGAGCTACCAGAAACCTTTGTTAGGAAACAGCTTTTGGCCTGAGGCCTTTAACTGAAGGCACATTGGTTATTGCTTCTATAAACACATTATATTCTTAAGAACATAATGAAAAGTATTTGCTGAATGTGCTTCAAGTTAGAGAAACAATTCCCTATCTTGAGATCATTTGGCAGTGGGACACTGTGGCAGCTGCAGTCTGGCTACCTCAGCCCTTAGCAGCTCTGGAGAGAAGAGTTGGGAATATAGTGTTGGCTGCAGGGAGGACAGGACCTAAGCCTGGAAGAACGTCAGTCTTTCTCGGCTTCATGTTGTACACACGGAAAGTTCAACCTGAATCGTTTAAGGATTGTCTTGTACTTAATGGCCATAATGCAGATAGATCCAGCAACCCAATATTCCCATTTTTCAGATGAGGAAACCTAAGTACATGGAAAAGAGCACAAAGCTCCTGACACAGAGTCTCCAGAGTCCATGTCACATGACTGTCTAGTACTCTTTTTTAAGAACAGGCGAAGACATTGAAAATCACTTACTTTGGTCCAGGCATGTTGGCTCATGCCTGTAATCCCAGCACTTGGGGAGGTTGAGGCAGGTGGATTGCTTGAGCTCAGGAGTTCCAGACCAGCCTGGGCAACATGGTGAAATGCCATCTCTACAAAAAATACAAAAACTTAGCTGGGTGTAGTGGTGCACATCTGTGGTCCCAGCTACTTGAGAGGCAGAGGGCAGATTGCTTAAGCTCAAGGGGTGGAGGTTGCAGTGAGCCGAGATCATGCCCCTGCACTCCAGCCTGGATGAAAGAGTGAGACCCCATCTCAAAAAAAAAAAAAAAAAAATCACTTACTTTGAAATTTGAGAAATTACAATAGTGCAGCTCTTCTTATACTTTTTTAGAAAGGAAACAACTTCAAATTTATTTCTTTTTCCTATATCTCAATTCTTTTCTCCTTATTGCTTCATAATTGTGCCAGTAAAGTGCAAAGAATATCAAAAAGGACATCCACCTCTCTCTTAAAAAAGGCAAAACTTTGATCCTTTATTTTTTTTCATAGACTAAAAGAACATATTGCTGATAAGAAGAAATTACCCATATTAATTTTTCCTGAAGGTAAGAATGGGCCTGCCTACCGAGCTATAGTTGATAACAATAAACCAGCAAAAATGTGTGAGGAATAGAATTGCCATAGAATTGGCAACCTTAGCCCAGATCTCTGCTCTTACAGGAATGGGGTGTCATTCTCTGAGCTATTAATTCCTTGCTTTCTTTTGAGATTTGATAGAAATCATGTTACCTTTTTAATTCAAAAGTCATTTCTGGGTAGTGAACTGAGAACAGAATTGTCCATGGCTTTAAGGGTTGCATGTATTGAAATTATCACCTGTTGAGAGGAAGTTGTACCCATAGGCCCATAGAGTGTTCAGTAGAAAAGTCAAAGCTTCTTGTTAAACCTGCTTAGTTAGAACTATTGGATTACTACTTTGACAGGGTTTGGTTTATGATTTGGTAGTACAATGCCTATAATTTTGATATTTTAAAATATTTTATATCAAAATAATTTCTTTTAAAATTTATTTTTAAAATGACTCCCTTTAAAAATATTCATGCTCCTACCCTCACGCCCTTGCAGGAACTTGCATCAACAATACTTCAGTCATGATGTTTAAAAAGGGGAGCTTTGAAATCGGAGGAACCATACATCCAGTTGCAATTAAGGTAAAACAGATAAGTAATAAGAATAATAATTATTATTATAAAGATATTGTATTGGTAATTTTATTTTGGTAGCATTTTAAACTTAACATTTGCAAGAACGAAGAACACCAGTTTTTGCATGTACCAGTCCTCTGCACTTTGCCTCCTCTGCTTTCTCATGCGCTCACTCTCTATCTGTAGATAGATGTATACTGGGTGACTCTGTGCCAGGCGCTGTATTTGCTCGTAGTGTTAAGTGAAACAGTTGCTGTTCCTGTTTTCATCAGCCTTCTAGTTAGTGAGGAGACAGATATTTAATAGTCACATAAATAACTCTTGTTGCTGCACTCTGTGGTTCTATTCAGAAAAGTAGTCAGCTCTAGTCAGACATGTTAGCTGGCCTGGTTTACTTTTATTTTTTAATAAATTCTATCAAGTGAAATAACTTCTCTTTTTCCTAGAGTCTGATAAAGCTGTTTGGCCTACCACATTTAAAACATTGGGCACGGATGAGAAACTACTTTTAGTTCATAACTGGGATGTATTTTCTTTTCTTTTCTTTTTTCTCAGTATAACCCTCAGTTTGGTGATGCATTTTGGAACAGCAGTAAGTACAACATGGTGAGCTACCTGCTTCGAATGATGACCAGCTGGGCCATCGTCTGTGACGTGTGGTACATGCCCCCGATGACCAGAGAGGTATTCCTTAGCTAACACTTTGTCTAATCAGGTAGAAGCAAGGAGACCTTCACCTGAAAACCTGGGTGTCTCCCTTCTCCATGCCATGCTTTTCTGCTTGCTCAGCAAATGAGTCATTTTTTAAATAATGTATTTAGCTCCCTTTAAATCAAACCATTTTATATTTAGAGATTCTTTTCCATGTTGATTTTACAATTGCTCTTGGTTTATTGAACCTACAGATATTATCTTGGGTAAGACTAATAAAGAGCGTGATAAATATATGCACATGGTAAAAAATTAAACAATACAGCACTGCATTTTCTTGATAGAACAAATGATATTTGCTATGATTGATTAAGAATAGAAAGCATTTGAGCTGAAATATGAATCTTATATTTTAAAACAAATACAAATGATTATGAGACGGTATTAAAAACTCAATAAACTAAGATGTTCTTGTAATTTTTGTTTGTTTGTTTTTAACCAGGAAGGAGAAGATGCAGTCCAGTTTGCTAACAGGGTTAAGTCTGCTATTGCTATACAAGGAGGCCTGACTGAACTTCCCTGGTAAGAGATCTTTCAGAAGTACTATCACTTTTTTTTGTTTTGTTTTTAAGAGAATGCCTCACTCTTTTACCCAGGCTGAAGTGCAGTGCATGATCATAGTTCATTGTAGCCTCGACTGCCTGGGCTCAAGGGATCCTTCCATCTCAGCCTTCCGAGTAGCTGGGACTACAAGTGCTTGCCACCATGCCCAGCTATTTTAAAATTTTTTGTAGAGATGGGGTATCCTTGTGTTGCTCAGGCTGGTCTCAAACTCCTGGGCTTGAACTCCTGCCTAAGCCTCCCAAAATGCTAGGATTACAGTCATGAGCTACTGTTCCTGACTTTTTTTTTTTTAACTAAAAAGAGTCACTGGTAATAATGTCATTTATCATTCTAGTTAGTTATAGATTTAGCTGAAAGTAATAGTGGTTTATACATAACAATGGCTTACGTAAGATAGAAGTTTATTTCTCACTTAAACATAACCAGTCAAGGCTGGTAACAGCTCAATCTGTATTGCTTTACTCTCCTCAATTTGTGCTTCTCTTATGGTCCACGATGGCTGTTCCAACTCTACTCATTGTGTGTAGCAAATGGCTATGAGGAAGGAATTTTTAAAAGGATACACCCATCTCTAAGAGCACAAGCTGGGAGTTGTATATCCCACTTATACTTGTATCCATTGGCTAGTACTCAAGTCATGTGATAACACCTAGCTGCAAAGGAAGCTGGGGAACGTAGTCATTGTTCTGGGTGGTCATGTGCCTATCTCACATTTAGGGTTCTTTTTCTGAAGAAGAAAGGGAGAATGGATTTGTGGGTAGGGCAGACATTGGGAGGCAAGAGGCTACTTTCAGACTCTTTCATATTTAACTCTAGCTATAACTGTATAATAAGAGAATTGAACAACTTGAAAGAAGGGAAATAAGTGAAATATTTTAGTTATGGATCACTATGGTTTTAGTTTTTGTTTGTTTGAAGAAGATTGAACGTAGGTGAATGTATTAGTCTGCTTGGGCTGCCAGACAAAATACAGTAGTCCCCTGGGATAATGGGGGATATGTTCCAAGAGCCCTAGTAAATTCCTAATACGATAGTACAAATCCTATATAGACTATGTTTTTTTCTTTATGTACATAGCTATGATAAAGCTTAATTTATAAATTAGTCATAGTAAAAGATTAACAACAATAACAACTAATAAAATAGAACAATTATAATAATACACTGACTAATAAAAGTTTTGTGAATGTGGTCTCTCTCTTTCTCAAAATATCTTAATATTTTCCCAGGTTGACTGTGGGTAACTGAAACCATGGAAAGCAAAATCTTGTATAAGAGGGGAGTTACTGTACCACAGACTGGGTGGCTTAAACAACAGAACTTTGTTTTCCCACAGTTCTAAAGGCTGGAAGTTTGAGATTAGGGTGCAGCATGGTCAGTTTTTGATAAGGGCTCTCTTCTTGTGTTGCAGATAGCTGCATTCTCCTGTGTGCTTACATGATCTCTTCTTTGTGCAGGCGTGAAGAGAGAGAGTGCATGTTCTCTAGTCCTAGTTTCTTTTTATAAGGGCACTAATCCCATCATGAGTGCCCCACCCTCATGACCTCATCTAACCCTAATTACCTCCCAAAGGATCAGTCTCCAAATAGCACCACATTGGTAGTTAGGGAATTTTGGGGAGGACAAAAACATTCAGTCTATATCAGTGAAGGTTAACTAACATTATAGTGGGAGGTTGAATTATTATTATTATTATTATTATTTGAGATGGAGTCCTCTCTGTCACCCAGGCTGGAGTGCAGTGGTGCAATCTGGGCTCACTGCAACTTCTGCCTCCTGGGTTCAAGCAATTCTCCTGCCTCAGCCTCTTGAGTAGCTGGGACTACAGGTGTGCACCACCATGCCCAGCTAATTTTTTTTGTATTATTAGTAGAGATGGAGTTTCACTATGTTGTCTAGGCTGCTCTCGAACTTCTGACCTCAGGTGATCCGCCTCAGCTTCCCAGAGTGCTAGGATTACAGGCATGAACTCCCTGGCCTGGAGACTGGATTCTTATTTACATACAGGGTGTTAAATTAGCAGTCTGTCACAAAACAGTCTATACTTCAAGTCCTATGCAGTTAATAAAGTTCCTGCTGTTGTTTTTGGTGTTTGAAAAACACTTTGCATGAAAAGTTTATTTGAGGCAATTGTAGCAATGTTTCTAGGAGGAGGATTTGGCCATCTGAGTTAGGCTGTCAGCCAGGAAACCAAGGACCCTCCTGAACCAGCAGAGGATGGTTTAAGGTGTCTGCCTCTAGAAGAAGGGTTGGCTAGATATTATACAGTAAGCATTCACTTCACATCATTGATAGGTTCTTGTAGGCTGTGACTTTAAGCAAAATGACTTTATAGTAGGTTCTTGAATAAATAACATCATTTTGTTCCATGTACTTTCTTTATAATGTTGATGAGAAAAAATATTGGGTTTTGTTGTAAATCATTTCGTTTAAAGTTACAGTTTCTAAGAACCTATCAATGGTGTTCAGGGAGGACTTACTGTACTCCGTTATGCAAGGGTGGGGAGTATCACTAAAATATTTATCCATTCACATAGTGTGAATACAACTAATTGTGTCCAGGTAAACCGTTTCTGATATCCATTATGCAAATTAACAAGCCACTAATTTCTACAGTGAAAACTCATTTCTAAAATTTGTTATGCAAGGACCTGGTGCAGTGGCTCATGCCTATAATCCCAGCACTTTAGGAGGCTGAGGTGGGTAGATCACCTGAGTTTAAGAATTTGAGACCAGCCTGGGCAACATGGTGAAACCCTGTCTCTACAAAAAGAATACAAAAATTAGCTGAGCGCTGTGGCGCACACCTGTAGTCCCAGCTACTTGGGAGGCTGAGGCCTGAGAATCCTTGAACGCAGGAGGTTGAGGCTGCAGTGAGCTGAGATCGCGCCACTGCACGGCAGCCTGGGTTACAGAGCAAGACTCTGTCTCAAAAATAAATAAATAAATAAATAAATAAAATTTGTTATGCTAATTAACAAAGCTTGAGAAATCGATGGGCAATAAAGATAAAGATAGCTGAAGCCATTAGTGGCATCTCTGAAAGGCAGCCTTCTGATTAAATGCTGGCTGACCACCCTGGAGTATGAGTTCTTGACTAACAGGTTATATGATTTGAGTTCCATACACCCTGGAGTATGAAACTGACTAGTCCTAAGGCATAGGTTAGGACTAAACATTTGTATTACACTATCTACATTGGAATATGTTAAACTAAATGACAGAATCATAGCGTCATAAAACTATATAAAACGACCTTGGTCCACAGATGTCCTATAACCCCTGGTCATATGTGCAGCTGGGTTCCTTTTCCTTATTCAGTTTTTAAAACTCTTAACACACCCTTTGTCTTACCTGACACTCAACCCTCCTGCTTCTACCCTGAAGTCAGTGTCTGTAGTCTCAGACACAGAGGAAGGGAAGAAAGCCTTGAGAGGCAAGAACCACCTAGGGGAGTCAGCCAAGTACAGACTCTCCATCAGAGTGGCTGAACTAAATCCGTCAAAAATGAGCGTCAGAATTGTCCAATTTCCTTTTATCAGGCCATATGCAATTGTACAATAAAATTACTTTTAATTACCTAGCCTCTTAAAGAAAAGAAAGTGGCCTCATTGCCTTTCTAGATATATTTGTCATTTACCTATTGGATATGAATTAACATATCTAGATTTTTTTTTCATCGATTGAGTGAAAATATAATTTTATGATCTTAAACTGGCTCTTACATATGGCTGCTCCTTTCCTTAAGAACTAAGACCTGCTGCCATTGCAAAGGGGAATTGGGTAAAATTTTGAAGTCTCTAGGGGTGGCAAGTCACAGTTTAAGTGCTTAGGGCAGCATGAGGTTTATTGGGTGCTTGGGAAGGAGAATTGTACAAAATGATGTCAGATTGCTCAAGACTTAAATTTTTGCCTGTTTTGGGCTTGGATCTTGTGAAAGGAGAAAGGCCTTTCTTATTTCTTTAGCTGCCTTAGTTCTCACTATTCAGAATTCAGGTAAGTGCTGTTAATAGAAGAAGCTCATTTGGATAAAAGAGGCTTATGTGGACAATTCTGTGGACCTAACAACAAATTATCATCTTGTTTCATGAAAACTTCCCACAACTGACCCCCTGGATGATTTGTGGATCACAGTCTGTTTTTAAGTTGAGGACTTATTGCTGTGTCTTAGATTTGACTCTAGAAGCCAGAGCACTGCATTGGTCTCAAGCAGGTGTCTCTATGGAGGTCAAGTTCTGTCCTCACGGCACTGAGTTCACTGGCTAACCTATGATCATTCATCATCATCAGAAAGCATTTGGTAAACATGCATGCTTAACTAGGTTAAAATTAAACAGTCAGAGTATAAAGTAAGCAAGTTCTTAGCCCATGCTCTCCTAGCAGTTAAAATCTAAAACATTAGATTAGGAGCCAGATAGTGACCTATCATAGTCCAAACTACTCCCAGCAACTCCCTTGTTTCTTTGTGTGTAATCCAAAGAAGGAAAAGCCTGCAGAGTTCTTATACCCAGACAGGCACCCTGGAGAGAGTTCAAAGATTTACAGGTTCTGAATGAAGGAATGCTGCTTACGTAGGCACTTCTGGTTGAATGCAACTTGTGATTTTGTTGTTTGTTTTATTCTGAGTCTGTTTTGGAATATAAAAGATTATAAATGCTGGAAATATAGTGCTTTGAATGAAAATACAACTTGTTAAACATAGATAGGGTTATATTTGAACAATGATTTATCTTTTTTAAATAATCATTTATCTTTAAGAAATTTACCCACACATATACAGTATACCCTTACCGTTTCTTCTGTGTGTATTTTAAGTTTTCCTATGGTTTTCCAGTAAGACATAGGTAGATGAAAAACCAGTATTTTGTTTTCCTTAAGGAACAATATAGAGAAATAATCCTAGTTTTAATAATCCTTGTTTCAATCCAATTTTTGGGTTTTTTTTCTGTTTTTTTGAGATGAAGTTTCACTCTTGTTGCCCAGGCTGGAGTGCAATGGCATGATCTCGGTTCAGCACAACCTCCGCCTCCCAGATTCAAGCTATTCTCCTGCCTCAGCCTCCCAGGTAGCTGGGATTACAGGCATGCGCCACCATGCCCAGCTAATTTTGTATTTTCAATAGAGACAGAGTTTCACCATGTTGGCCAGGCTGGTCTCGAACTCCTGATCTGACGTGATCCACCCACCTCAGCCTCCTAAAGTGCTGGGATTACAGATGTGAGCCAGTGCACCTGGCCAATCCAAATATTTAATACACCACCCCTTAACTTCTAAAGAAACTGAGTTGGAGATATTGTTACTTATTTTAACCAAACATCAGAGAGATTGTTGCTTCCTCAAAGCAATGTATGTTTGGCAAGTGGTAGGGCAGAGACTGAAATCTGGGTCTTCCTGTTTCCAAATCCAGTGTTCTTTCCCTTATTTCATCCCAGCTGCCTAAGCATCATGGCATCATACAGCATGTTATTATTAAGTTAACTCTTTTAAATCACCGCTGTAAAGTACCTTTTATGTATTTGTCTTTCTGTTCGCAGGGATGGAGGACTAAAGAGAGCAAAGGTGAAGGACACCCTCAAGGAAGAGCAGCAGAAAAATTACAGCAAGATGATTGTGGGCAATGGATCTGTCAGCTAAGAGGACAGCTGACAGCTTTTAGATCTAGTACTAGCCCTTAGAAATGGAATGGCTTTGTTTTCTGTTTTGTTTTTATGATTGTGAATCTTTTCTACAGAATGATTGTCTCTACCTCTTTATGCCAGAGGCAGAACCTACAGGTGCCCTTTTTGGCTTTTGTTGTTGTTGTAACATTAGCCCCATGGATTGTAAGGTGGTTTACTGAGTTCAAACAGATTCTGCTTTGATAAAATGATGGCGTCACTGTTGACTGAATGAAATATTTGTATAGAAAAAAGTGCTTGTAAAGTGTGTTTGGAACTCATCGATAGGGTAATTCTCCAAAAATGCCCAAACTCTCTTTTTATAATTAGCCTTGCCACTTTCTTCAGTCACTTAAATGGTGAGATTACACATCAGTGCAAGATGACCATTATGGTTATGGTCTACTGCAAGGTTGAAAGGAATAATGGAGGATTGTATTTAGGAAAAGGGACAACTTTGTGGCCACCTGCTCTGAAAGTCAAAAGGAAACATAAATTAGTATTATTAGTATGTTGGAAGAGAAATACTACTTTTCTTTTTCACAGGAGTTCTCTGGCCCTGTGAACTCCACCTTGAGCAATGTCACAGATTACAGTTATTTTGCAGGTGAATTAAGCTTCACCAAAGAAAAGTGAGTCAAAGTTAATGTGTGTGTGCATTTATATGTAGGCAGCTCATAGACCACATTTTAGCCAGCAACTGGTAACAAAGAGCTTAGTTTTCCTTGTTTGAATGCTGTAGATCTATACCTAGTACCCCTCCCATCTACTGATTTCTTTGTTTTTATAACCAAACACATTTTCAGATAGAAGGAGCCTTAAAAAAAAAAATCACATTGAGTAACTTCAGTATGAATGAATGAGAGTGTGCGGAGCTACCCCTCACCCTCCACCCCTTTGTGGTTTATTCCCTAATTTTCCCAGTCTCTTAAACAGAAAAAATGACTGATATAATTACCTTTTGGAAACTGAGCCTTAATTTTTTTTAGAGGGAGAAAGAAGTTTTCCCCAACTCACACAGCATAAGCAATGTTTGACAGCAATATAATGCCGTTGTGAACTCCTGAGAGTATGGCATCTGTTCTGGTAGCCATGTACAGAATGTGAAACTGTCGTATGAATATAAATAAATTCTATATTTCTAAATGTGTATTGCATTATTCCTCCCTCCCTTCCCCCCTTTTCTGGTTTTGAGTAAGTTAAATTCTTTTCTATTACAAACAAGAGTTTTTTTTTTTTCATTTCAGTGACATAGTTAGATTTTATTGGACTGGAACAAATGGGAAACAAGAACATGAGCCACTGACTCTCTCCCCCCTCCCCCCACTTAAATCTTATTTTTTAGTCTAGTTATTTGGACTCTGGCCCTCTGAACTCCACCTTGAGCAATATCACAGATTACAGTTATTTTGCAGATGAATTAAGGCAATTATATCTAACTAGGTAGGCCTAGCATAGCATATATCAGTTTATACTCTTCTTATCTATCTAGCTAGTTGGATTTCATCCCAAAAGAGAACTTGCAAATAGGTTACTCTCATGGCCATCCACCTTCTGTTCTCACTCTCCCTACTTTCCCTTTGTTGTTTGGGGAAATTTTGCCCCACAAACTCTATTAGGAGTGATCTTGACTGAAAATTAGCAAATTCAAATATGTATGTTGGGTGACTTTTGTCTTATTTTTTCTCAGAAAAAGGAGTGCCTTAAAAAAAAAATTTCTATGTTAATTATGGCATGAATTAATAAATCTTATTTCATTAGCTCAGTTCTCAGAAAAGTGTATCTTTCCAAGATCACTGTATTAAAAATAGCAATGCTATCATGTATTCACTAGATAACCTAATAGTGTCTCTATCTGAACTTTCGTCTTCCAGGTCTGATTTACACAACTAGTTTTCGGGTTGCTTGAGGAATTGCCATGTTGTTGAAACCATGTTTTTAGAAAGCTGATATTGCTCAGATTTAGCGTATGGTCCTCAGAACTCCTTTTACGTTTGCTTTCCTTAATATTATTCCATACCCACTTTAGAGATACTGTGTCCAGAGTTTAGTATTCCTGAGTCTTCCCTAATTGTAAGGCGATATGAAGGGAAGGCAGGATTTGGTAGAAAAATCTCATCAGATAAGCTGAGCTTTCATTGAACCCTTGCATACATTCATTAATTTAGCCTCAAGGTTGCCCTATTTTTATTTCAATTCTTTGTCCTGGGGTCATATTTATAGACAGCAGGTCCTAGGAATGCCAAGGATTTCTAAAATATGCCACATTCTGGGACTGGATGAGCAGCCGTGTGTGAAACAGTAAATATACTTGGAGCGCAGGGGAAATAGTTTCAGATGCCACTCTGGGGCAAAGAACAATCTCAGGGGAAGTTTCCCTGCGTCAACAGACTTTTCAAGGCATAGTCACCTTTGTCTTGGTGATTTGCATGATCTCAGTGCCTATGTTGCAGTTTGCACATTCTGTTGATATTTTAACGTACATGATAAGGGTTGTTGGTTTCTTGTGAGTACAAATAACGTATTGTAGTCATGAGGACTGCCTCTTGGCCAAAGCTGCTCTCACGTTTTTTTTTTCCTTCAATATGGCACTATTGACCTAAACTGCTTCATGATAGAAAAGGGTAGGTTATGATGGGAGGATAGGCCAGGGGTGGAGGTGGGGTGGAGGGAAGTGGGGAAGGGTGTTGGGGGTGTTGGGGGCAAGGCTGGGATCTGGGATTGATACTGCTAGGGGCCCTAATAAGTATCTTCACAAAAGCTGTGTGTTTGTTTTTGTTTTTTAACAGCTGTTTCTAGTGGATTGATACTAGGTATGATCTTTTTAAAAAATAGTGGTTAAGATAATGGGATTAAAGGGACAGAGAGTCATAAAACAAAACATTTTCTTTATTTTTTCTTTTTTTTGTTTTTTGAGATGCACTCTCACTCTGTTGTCCAGGCTGGGGTGCAGTAGTGTGATCTCGGCTCACTGCAACCTCCGCCTCCTGGGTTCAAGTGATTCTCCTGCCTCGGCCTCCTGAGTAGCTGGGATTACAGACATGCGCCACCATGCCCGGCTAATTTTTGTATTTTTAGTAGAGACAAGGTTTCACCATGTTGGCCAAGCTGGTCTCAAATCCCTGACCTCAGGTGATCCACCCGCCTTGGCCTGCCAAAGTGCTGGGATTACAGGCATGAGTCACAGCACCTGGCCAATTCTATTTTTTATTACACATTCCTTTTTTAATGATCAGTACATATTTATTATTATTACTACTGCTGTAAGCAAGCATTGGAGATTGGCTCATAATGTCTTCTACTTGCCATATGTCTTTATTAGCTCAGTTCCTATTCATACCCCTTTTTATAGGTGATGGATGGTAACTTCTCAATCCTGTGTCTTTTCATTCAGAATCAGCACTTGTTCTCCAATAAAATAATTTCAGTCATCCACAACATTGTCTTGCAGGCCTATTTTTCAAAATTGGGCAGTCTAGGGAAAGGGCTTTCCTTTGGTTTTGTTGTTTTCTTTCCTCATGTGTAGTGACTGTGCCCAAAATGTAAGGAAAATCAAGAAACTGCAAAAGATATCATCAGCTATTCATATTAAATGTAAAACACTAAGTAATATTTAAGTTAATTTGTGGCTTGTAAAAACTTTGGAACGTTATATAATGAACTAATGGCACATAATTTCTGAGAGTTTTAATTAGACTGTTGGTATTTGCAGCATCAGCCTTAGCATACCTATTTTTAAATTATTAATTGATAGATAATTGTGCATAATTATGAGGGATAGTGTGGTATTTTGATACATGTGTACAACGTGTAGTGATCAAATCAACATAATTAGCAAATCTATCACCTTAAACATTTACTGTTTCTTTATATTGGAAACATTCAAAATCCTATCTTCCAGCGATTTGAAAATATACAAAAAGTCAGGCATGGTGGCTCATGCCTGTAATCCCAGCACTTTGGGAGGCTGAGGCGGGTGGATCACCGGAGATCAGGAGTTCGAGAGCAGCCTGGCCAACATGAAACGCTGTCTGTACTAAAAATACAAAATTTAGCTGAGCATGATGCCGTACACCTGTAATTCCAGCTACTTGGGAGGCTGAGGCAGGAGAATCACTTGAACCTGGGAGGCGGAGGTTGCAGTAAGCTGAGATCGCACCACTGCGCTCCAGCCTGGGTGACAGAGTGAGACTGTCTCAAAAAAAAAAAGAAAATATACAATAAATTGTTAACTCTAGCCACCCTACAATGCTATATAGAACACCAGAATTTATTTCACTTATCTGGTTAAAATTTTGTATCTGTGAACCAATCTCTCCCTATACTCCCCTTCCTCCTACCCTTCTCAGCCTTTAGTAATCACTATTCTACTCTCTACTTCCATGAGATCACATTTTTTAGCATCGACATATAAGTGAGAACATGTGGTATTTATCTTCCTGTGCTTGGCTAATTTCACTAACCACTACTGTCATCCAGCCTCAGCCATGTTGCTGTGAATGACAGGATTTCATTCTTTATATGGCAGAATAGTATTCCATTGTGTATATACACCACATTTACTTCATCCATCTGTTGATAGACACAGATTTATTCCATATCTTGGCTACTGTAAATAATGTAATAAACATGGCAATGCAGATATCTCTTTGACATTCTGATTTTCTTTCCTATGGATAAATACTCAGTACTGGAATTGCTGTGTCATATGGTGGTTCTGTTTTTAGTTTTTGAGGAACATCCATACTGTTTCCTGTAATAGCTGTCCTAATTTACATCTTCATCAACAGTGTATAAGAGTCCCCCTTTCTCTGGACCTTTGCCAGCGTTTGTTATTTTTTTGTCTTTTTTATGATACCCATTCTAACTGGGGTGAGATGCTATCTCATTGTGGGTTTGATTTGCATTTCCTTGATGATTAATGATGTTGAACGTTTTTTGTAAACTTGATCATATGCATGTCTTCTTTTGAGAGATGTCTATTTAGATCATTTGCCCGTTTTAAAATCAGATTATTATTATTATTATTTTGCTCTTGAGTTTTTTAGTTCCTTGTATGTGCTGGATATTAATCTCTCGTCAGTGGCTAGGTGCAGTGGCTCATGCCTGTAATTCCACCATTTTGAGAGGTGAAGGTGAGAGAATAGCTTGAGGCCAGAAATTTGAGATCAGTCTGGGCAACACAGTGAGACCCTGCCTCTACAAATTTTTTTTTTTTTTATCAGCTGGGCATGGTGGTGCATGTCTGTAGTTCTAACTACTTGTAAGGCTGACACAGAAGGATCACTTGAGCTCAGAAGTTTGAAGCTGCAGTGAGCTATGATCACTGCACTCTAGCCTGGGTGACAGTGAGAGCCTATTCAAAAAAAAAAAAATTCTCTTGTCGGATGATTAGCCCACAAAAATCTTTTCCCATTCTGCAGGTTGTCTCTTTAATCCATTTATTGTTTTCTGTGCTGTGCAGAAGCATTTTAGTTATATATGATTCCATTTGTTTATTTTTGCTTTTTTCCCTATACTTTTAAGGTCTAATTCA